CTATCCACTATATAGTGCACTCTAAAACTGCCGTATTCACTATTTTATGCTAACAATCCCACAATGCACCACGCTGCGTTTTACCATGGCGTGGTTCAACAGCTGTTGATGCAAAATGACGATGATTAATAAGTGTCCAAAGTCCCAATTTACTGTTCAATACTGAGTGGACTACTTAGTGTACATTCTATAGAGTAAAGAGTGATTTTGTACACATGTACAGAACAATGCCGGTTTCAGATTTTTAAATCCTGAAGATAATGCCTTTAGACATGAATGGCCAGGGACACACTTGACAAAAATTGCTTATCCACATACAAGCCAACATACACACACCCTAGCAAAACATGAAGAAGGTACGTACACTTAAAAATCTACACAAGTGTAGAATAGACTGCATAGAGAGAAACTAGCACTTAAAATGCAGACATACGCAAACACTTTGGCTGTTGTGACCTAACTGACTGGTCAGGCTGGTTTGTCAGGCTGTACAGATATGTACAGAACAATGCCGGTTTCAGATTTTTAAATCCTGAAGATAATGCCTTTAGACATGAATGGCCAGGGACACACTTGACAAAAATTGCTTATCCACATACAAGCCAACATACACACACCCTAGCAAAACATGAAGAAGGTATGTACACTTAAAAATCTACACAAGTGTAGAATAGACTGCATAGAGAAACTAGCACTTAAAATGCAGACATACGCACACACTTTGGCTGTGGTGACCTAACTGACTGGTCCGGCTGGTTTGTTAGGCTTTCTTTGAGTTGTGTTTTAAGTTAGTTTCATGCTTTCAACAAAAGTTGTGTTTTAAGTTAGTTTCATGCTTACCTCAACAAGATTTTAGTTCCAGACACATTTTAAAAGGAATATAACTGGGTGGTGTGAACTGTGCTGAAGTCTGTTAGAATGTGTGGGAAAGAAGGAAAAAGTTCCAGAGGTGAACAACAAAAACTTTTTTTTGCCAAATAAATTCTAAATATCTCCTTTAGTGGTGTGAAGGAAAAGTCTTGCCTGTGTACATGGTTGATGTCAGCTTTGATCATGATCAAGTAGTTTGCAGCCACTACTGTCAGGATGTGAGCAGAGTACCTGCAGAACAGGACAGACACATTGCAGCATTACTATTATTTGTGTTCTTTATTTAAAATGAAAACAGGACATTATGCTGTACTGTATGTTGTCTATGATACAACATGGCTGTGTTCAGCCCCCTAAAACTTATATTCACTGATCAAATGCCACCACAAACATTTATCCTGTCTGTCTTGTATTTCCTACATCCTGACTGTCTTCATATAACTATAAGGAGTTCTGTGTTGCCTTTCATACAGTACCATCCGAAGCAGAACATGAGAAAGGCAATGCCAAGGAGTGTGGCCACAGCATGCCTGACCAGGGGATTGGCATGGCTGGGACCGAGGTAGAGACGAAACCAGAAGGCAGCAGCTAGGGCAAACCCTTGGCATGCCAAAAAATTCACCTGTGTGGGAGAGAGCTGGATTAGGATGAGAGTTTACAGCTGCTCAAAGACAACTAATAATACCTCTATGGGCATTTATTGTGAGAGCATGGGTAGCAGTTCTAACAGAAGTCATCTAAGGTTATACTTTATACCAATGTCTATACTTTGTTCGTTTATTAAACAAAGTAAATAGCCTTATGTTATTTATCTCATTTACACGATGGCATATCATTTCTGTCTACATGGTCGCGCGCACACTCCCACTAGTGGACAGAGAGCGCGTGTCGGAAAATATGTCGCGCGTGTCCGTCTGTAAACCTAGGGGAAACAATGGGGGATGTATAGCTTTATCGTCATAGAAATCAACACTTCTATAAGGATGTCTAGTTTTGCCGTGATATTTGTGAAGTACATTATCAAATAACTGGCTCTAAATGTTAAGAAGCCTATAGAGATTTTCAATAGCTTATGCCACTTTGGACAGAAAAAACTTCAAACGCAGTATTCTATACCATTACAATTATGAGCTGCGAAATGGGCGTCGGTGACTGCTGAGAATCACTGCACAGCGTTAATTGACCGAGCTTTCATCCACCGAGTGCTATACCACTTTGATCCAGTGGTTTTAAAAGCAGTGTCCGTTAATTCGACCATCCTGCATAACTACTTGTTGTGTCGTGGCGCCTCGGTGTTTCCGGCTGTTGCCGGTCTTTATCCTTCTTTTGTAACTAGTGACCGAAATACATCGTTTGCCCGACAGGACCGGTGACAAGTCAAACCAGCCCACAGTTTGATATGATACACCAAACATAACACTCCCTTCTCTCCCTCCTTCTCTTCATGCGCTTCACTAAATGTTAAGTCTGACTTTTTCTTCTTCTTCCGTAGATTTTATTGGCGGGCAACGACTTAATAAGTGCATTGCCTTTAAACGAGAAGACAATGACTCGTCGTTCCCTTTAGTTATGGGGTAATATTGCATGTGGGAGTAAATGCCTGTGAATACACTTGTTACTACTGGTTTTCTTCGGCGTTGCTGTGCAGCGCTGGGATCAAACCCATAAGTGTGATTCACACTTAAGCTATGTGGGTTTGTCTTAGCCAATTAGTTGATAAAGAAGAATTCAACCGCTGGTTTTGCACCACATCATCACATTCATGACAGTGGGTATTAAAATAGAACAATTTCTGCATGATACATTGGAAGTTTTACCAAAAAAAAAAATCATCGGTGTCTTGACAGATTTGATCAGTCTCCACTGCGCCATATCAGAAGTTGTGTAAAGGTATCTCTAAGGATAAAAATGAAAGTCACTTTCGGTTTTTCCCGTTTAGGGGTCGCCACAGCGAATCGTCACACTGACAACTCGCATGTTGACATTTGGCACGTGTTTTACACCGGATGTCCTTCCTGACGCAACCCTGATTCGAACCCGGGCCGCGGCGGCGAGAGCGCTGCGCCTTAACCACTACCAGGGACGGCTAAAAGGTCTCTATAAGAATACACAAAAGAAAAAAAGTAAAATATATTACACGCATCTTTCTTCAAATTTAAGTAGAGGAGTCGAGAAAGAGGGGGAAACAAGGGAGCTAGAACTGCCAATGTGTAAAAGGATGTTTAAAAAAAAACTGCCATGAGCACATCTTTATCACCAAGTGGGAAGAGGGAAAGCAAGCCTGACAACAGGAAATAAAAGGGAGGACAAGAGCTCAGAGGCTGTGAAGGAGACTAGTGATTAAGGGATGAGAGAGGGTTGGAGAAGTAAAGCTGCAGAATCCCTCATTCACACACAAAATACACTATCGTACTCATTAACTGCTGTTGTGTTTCAAAGGATAGCAGGAACTGATGCACAAAGAGATGCTGAATGACAGAAAAACAAACTGAATAAAAAAACTGCTGAGAAAGAAAAGAAGTGAAGGCAAGAAATACAAAAGACAACAAAAGGGATGTCTAATTTAATCAATACAAGATAATTACATTAAAGCAGGTCTAATAAAAGTGAGTTGTGGTAAGCAGTGTTAAAGACCATATAGATTTGGGCTGTCTAAGCACCCAAGACAAGTTACAAAGGTCTGATGCCCCTCTTCAAACCCTCTTTTCAATCTGCATGTTAAAGACGTCGATGATAGCAGGAAGCTTGAGATTGATCTGGGATACTACAACCAGACCACATGAAAGCCCAGCGATAAGAAAAATAACAAGATAAATATTTCAGTATGGAATATGAGCTGTATTCATTGCTTGAATGGCTCATAACAGGAAAATGCTTAGAAAAAAAAGCTAAAGTAATGGCAAAGGCCCACACAAACATTGAGACAAGCACATGTGCAGGGAACTGGCCTAGAGATAAGCACTTGACTGAACCACAAAGAGGCAAACCCCAAAGCGAATCCTGCTAAGGGTCCTATGAGTACCATTTCTAATCCGAAGTACTTCTTCCTATAGGAGAAGGCTATAGCATATGTGCAGAGAACAGCGCTAGAGCACATGCGTCAACTCAAGGCCTGCGGGCCACATCCGGTCCGGCGTACAATTACACCCGGCCCGCGAGATCATTTTATATGTCTTTTTTGAATGGCCCGGCGATATGAAGCGCCGATAACACACAAACTACAAATCCCATGATGCAGCGCCACAGCTGCCTTACCGAATGACAGGCTACCTGCGATCATTCCCGCGTCAATTACGTCAGATCAATCAAGCGTCTGTTGATGTTTACAACCCTAATTTCAAGTCAAAGCTAGCCCCTAACAATGGCCAAGAGAAAAGTTGATTCTGAAAACAGCCTTTGAAAACCGGTGGGAGGCTGAGTATATGTTTACTGACATTGTCGGTAAACCTGTGTGTCTTATTTGTGGAGCTAATGTGGCTGTAATTAAGGAATATAACCTACGAGACAAAACATCAGGACAAGCTGAAAAACGCCAATGCAGAGCAGAAGCTACAGAAGGTAGAGGAGTTGAAGAGGAATCTGACATCACAGCAGACGTTTTCACCAAAGTGAAATCACAGTGAAGCTGCTGTGAAAGCAAGTTTTATTGGGACACAGGAGAAAATCAGCCCGGACATTTACTGAGGGAGAGTTTCTGAAGAGCTGCATGATGAAAGTGTGTGACGTCTTGTGTCCAGACAAAAAGCAGGTGTTTGCAAATGTAAGCCTTAGCAGAAATACGGTTGCTGATTTTAAGTTCAAGTTTATTTATTTTGGAATAATATTGTATCCTGTCTGTTTCGATTCATATTTATGTTCAAAAACGTTTAGTTTTAGTCTGTTTAATACATTTTTATCCTGCTCGGCCCGCGACCTAAAGTGTGCTTTGAGTTTTGGCCCCCTGTGTGATGGAGTTTGACACCCCTGGTATATACGGTTACAATCAGACATGCCAAATAAGAAACATGATCTTCAACATGAGTTCATGTTTACTTTATATTTTACTGTCAGCTTGAAATCATACAACCATGTAGTGTAGTGGAACAGGAGTGTGCATGGCGAATCAAATCCCAAACAGTCCATGAACCAGTAAATGACACATCTTGATTACACTTGATTGTATTGACCACTAGATGTCCTACTTGAGCACTGTGTCATTGAAGCCTCCAGTAATGAACCATTTTTGTGAATGCGGTGTCGAAGCTTCAACAAAGCCTTGATCGCCATTACTAGCCATGCTCATTCTTCTTCTTTATGATGTTTTGTGGTGGCTGACAAAAAACATTACCGCCACCCACTGGACTGGAGTGTGGATAGGAAATCTGCCACAAGTGCACATTTTTTGATCATGTTCATTCATTCAACCTTCATTTATACAGGTTAGTCCATCGAGAGCTATTTCACTCTCGTTTGCATGGACACCCTGTTTAGAAAAGATAAACACCATTTCACAAACAAAACATATGTGACATTGAAATAAAAACAAAACACTATACATTTACAGTGCCTTGCGAAAGTATTCAGCCCCCTTGAACTTTGCGACCTTTTGCCACATTTCAGGCTTCAAACATAAAGATATAAAACTGTAATTTTTTGTGAAGAATCAACAACAAGTGGGACACAATCATGAAGTGGAACGAAATTTATTGGATATTTCAAACTTTTTTAACAAATAAAAAAACTGAAAAATTGGGCGTGCAAAATTATTCAGCCCCCTTAAGTTAATACTTGGTAGCGCCACCTTTTGCTGCGATTACAGCTGTAAGTCACTTGGGGTATGTCTCTATCAGTTTTGCACATCGAGAGACTGAAATTTTTGCCCATGCCTCCTTGCAAAACAGCTCGAGCTCAGTGAGGTTGGATGGAGAGCATTTGTGAACAGCAGTTTTCAGTTCTTTCCACAGATTCTCGATTGGATTCAGGTCTGGACTTTGACTTGGCCATTCTAACACCTGGATATGTTTATTTGTGAACCATTCCATTGTAGATTTTGCTTTATGTTTTGAATCATTGTCTTGTTGGAAGACAAATCTCCATCCCAGTCTCAGGTCTTTTGCAGACTCCATCAGGTTTCCTTCCAGAATAGTCCTGTATTTGGCTCCATCCATCTTCCCATCAATTTTAACCATCTTCCCTGTCCCTGCTGAAGAAAAGCAGGCCCAAACCAGGATGCTGCCACCACCATGTTTGACAATGGGGATGGTGTGTTCAGGGTGATGAGCTGTGTTGCTTTTACGCCAAACATAACGTTTTGCATTGTTGCCAAAAAGTTCGATTTTGGTTTCATCTGACCAGAGCACCTTCTTCCACATGTTTGGTGTGTCTCCCAGGTGGCTTGTGGCAAACTTTAAACGACACTTTTTATGGATATCTTTAAGAAATGGCTTTCTTCTTGCCACTCTTCCATAAAGGCCAGATTTGTGCAGTATACGACTGATTGTTGTCCTATGGACAGAGTCTCCCACCTCAGCTGTAGATCTCTGCAGTTCATCCAGAGTGATCATGGGCCTCTTGGCTGCATCTCTGATCAGTCTTCTCCTTGTATGAGCTGAAAGTTTAGAGGGACGGCCAGGTCTTGGTAGATTTGCAGTGGTCTGATACTCCTTCCATTTCAATATTATCACTTGCACAGTGCTCCTTGGGATGTTTAAAGCTTGGGAAATCTTTTTGTATCCAAATCCGGCTTTAAACTTCTCCACAACAGTATCTCGGACCTGCCTGGTGTGTTCCTTGTTCTTCATGATGCTCTCTGCGCTTTAAACGGACCTCTGAGACTATCACAGTGCAGGTGCATTTATACGGAGACTTGATTACACACAGGTGGATTCTATTTATCATCATTAGTCATTTAGGTCAACATTGGATCATTCAGAGATCCTCACTGAACTTCTGGAGAGAGTTTGCTGCACTGAAAGTAAAGGGGCTGAATAATTTTGCACGCCCAATTATTCAGTTTTTTATTTGTTAAAAAAGTTTGAAATATCCAATAAATTTCGTTCCACTTCATGATTGTGTCCCACTTGTTGTTGATTCTTCACAAAAAATTACAGTTTTATATCTTTATGTTTGAAGCCTGAAATGTGGCAAAAGGTCGCAAAGTTCAAGGGGGCCGAATACTTTCGCAAGGCACTGTAGATAAGATGAGTCATAAAACCAGGATACCTCAAACTAGATGCACTAGAAATACATCAAATTAGAACCAATTGTTAGAAGCAAAACTTCAATTTAAAACATTAATAAAACAGTCAGGTAAAAGAAGAAATACACTAGTCTGATTTGTACAAAAAATAATTAATCATAACAAAACTTGCAAAAGTAGATTCAGTTAAAAGTTTAAAAAAATGTACTAGTCAATAAAAAAAAAACTAAATTAAAACTTCAACATCAGCTCATGATACCAGCTCATCCAGTTTCAGAGCCTGTTGTAATCTCTTCCATCTAAGTGGAACAAAGCCTTTAAAGGCTGTTTTTCTAAGCTATGTATGACTTTCCTGGAATGGCAAAACAAGAATTCAAAGTTTCATTAATGAAATTAAGAATGCCAGTTGTTTTCCTATAAGAGCGGAGCCATCTAAAGCATGTAAGCTGAGAACATCAGAAGCACACTTACTTTTTTGTGAAGAACATGAATTTGGTTTTGTTGGCATTTAATACCAATTTAAGGATGTAATTAAATACATTTCTCTTTACTCCATTTTAAAGTATTGTAAATAGTGAAAGAAGCTCCAGGGTCCAGTTTACATCCCATCTGGCATATTTACTGTCAGCTTTAGAGAACACCCACTCCTATCACTCAAAAGGTAACTCTGGCTGACCAGAGTTGTGTGTCTGCAGAACTGTGAACTCTCTTGTTTTTTTTTTACTCATTCTCTCTCACATGTTCTAACATGAAACCATTACTTATCAGACTGACTGTAAACTAAGCAGCCTTAGAATTGATGCTAAATTAGCTTTTCATGCACAGTAAGAGGAGAATTACCCATTTTGGTGTTTTAATGTGGACTGAGGTAAATTCAGAAACAAGCTGAAACACCCTGTTGTTCTGGGACAAAAACCGTGTTTTAGATTTTAGCCACCTTAATGTAAACATGATCTCAGTCCCTTCAGTAGCCTGTGTGCATAGCCTTCATTACCAGCCAAGTGTCCTCGCCCACTAGATGTACGATAACAGCCTTGGTTAAACAGCTAAACTGTTTAGTGTGTCATGCGTGAGTGTGTTTTCACTCAGCAGGCTAATGAAGTGGTTGGCTGGCTGGTTTGCTGTCTTGCACAACTTCACACACTGAGCCTTGTTAACAGACAGAGGCTAACCGGAGCGTGACTGATGGCATCTGACGACAGCCAACTTCATCACACCAGGAAGTGTCTAAGTGAGGAGAAGGCTGCCTCTTCTTCTGCCACTTCAGACTCAGACAGCACAACAGCAACTGCTTTAGCCCCAACACACTTTCACACTTTAACCAACCAGCTAGATTAGCACAAATCTGATGAAACTTCTGAAACTTCCCAGGGCTGGGTTTGTGCAAACGATGCTGCTGCCGAAGGATAAAAATAATTTTACCATGAATAAATAATTACTGCTCATTTAGAGACGTCATTAACAGCCCTGTGCTTTGCAGCAAAGTCAGGAGGTGTTGTTCTTCAACAGCAAACAGAGCTGGTGTTTTAGGATTTTCCAAAGATGACAAATGAGGAAAGCAACTAAAGATCAATGGAAAACATTTGGGACAAACAGAACTCATAGGAAACGTGGCCTTAATTATAGGAAACAGACCTAATGCTACATGCAGGACTTAAGGAATATATCTGATTCAGTACAGTTTTAACAACATTCAAGACGTATATTATATGTGAACGGCAGCTGTACTTCCTGAGGAAGCTAAGAAGGTTTGGCATGTCGCCTAGGATCCTTTGCAACTACGGCAGAGAAGATCCCCAGGACTCCGCTGCCCTCTCTGCAGAGCATTTACCACCACAGGGTGTGTAGGAAAGCTGCCTCCATCCTCAAGGATCCCACCCACCCCCAGCACAGACTGTTTGCCTCCCTACCCTCTGGCCGGAGGTTCAGAAGTGTGAAATGCAGGACCTCTAGACTGAAAAACTCTTTCTTTCCCTCTGCCATCAGACTCCTAAAGCGCTGAGGAGTTTATTACCAGGAAATACGTCATGTACTGTCGACCTGTCCTGTTTACATTCTCAGTTTGCATAACTGCACAATGACTGTTGACTACTGTACATGCTGCTCCCATGTAGCATACATTCTTTATTATATTCTTATAAATTATATTGCTGCATTTGCTGCTTAAAGTGCCTTAAATTTTGTGTTATCTACTTTATATTTCATTTGTATTTTGTGGCATTCATGTGGACGGCGAAGTAAGAATTTCATTGTACAGAGAAAACACATTTTCTAACTGTGCACATGAGAAATAAACATTTTGACCTTGAAATACAAAATGTAAAAGCATTTATAACCGTGTTACCTTTATTCAAATTTTCAATTACAAATGCCCAGAGTACAAAAACAAAGCAATTTATCCCTTCCAGCAAACAAATACAACTCAAATTCATCATTTAACAGATGTTAAAGAAACAATTTACATACTAACACACAAACATCAATTGTGTTTATCTAAACATTCAACAGCACAACCATACTTTCACCATGTATTCAAATGGTAAAAAAGGTGATGTGACATTACAGCTCCTCTTCTGTAAATAATGGAAACAGGCATCAATAATCATAATTTCAGTCTCTTTTTTCCCCCCTATCAAACAGCTAACATTTCACATAACCATTACAGAATATTTATAGATTAGTATATTGTATTTGGTAACAGCTGAATAAACTATGGGAAAATAGCAGGAAAAACAGATCCGTTTCAATCTTGACTATGGTTAACACCACATTTAGCCTAATGATAACTTTCTGCAAAGTCAAATTGCATATCAGAACCACACATTTGAAATGAAGGAGCTGCAATTTTAAGTCACCAATATTCAGACTCACTGACATTGACACTAGCAATAAAATCTAACATTCCATTAGAGACCCATGGAAAGGTGCAATCTTTCCAAAGTTCATGTTTCCATCACATAAAAATGGATAAAATACTGTGACCAGATTCTAATTGCTTGAAAGAGATGGAGAAACATGTAACTACCTAGTAAATGGACTTCAACTGCAACTGATGAATTGTTGGGGGAAATGAGGGTGGCATTTCCATAAATACATATAAAATACATTGATATAAATATGCCTAGAGGGAAATTGGGTTTTGTGAATCAGGGCATTTAAGAAGTTTAAGTACAATTTTGTTCACTTTTGCCAGCAGCATAAATTAAGTTCTGCTAGCAGTTTTCTCAAAAAGAATGGGTGAGGGTCAGGTTAACAACTTGTAGTCAAAATGCTGTTTCAACAGGCTTTGAAACTCTGTGAAACAAATGGCTGAAATGCAAAAAAAAAACAAAAAAACAAAAGAAAAAACACGTCAGACTCCTTCACACCATTCCAAAAAACACATACAGTATCACAGAAGCAAAAGTCCCTATACATTTAGGCAGAAGACAGCCAAGTCACTGATTCTGGTCAGTGGTGTAGAACAGACAGCAGCATCTCCTAATGACAGATAAAGGGGACACCTTTGTGAATCAATGCCTGCCAGCACACGTGTTATTAGTTTTTAGGTCTAAAATATGCTCTGCAAAAAAACAGACAAGAGCTAAATAACTTATCCCCCCAAAAAGAAGAAAAATATTGCAACACACTTGTCTGCCTATCAAAAATGCAGCCCAGTAGACACATGCAAGATGTGACGGCATGAGGCTGCTTTAAGAGCAAAGATATACTCAGTATTACGTCAGGATCTGAGTGAAATCTCGCACACATCAAAAGACAAAAGTGCGGCACAACCTCTAGTATCACATCTAAATACAATGGTAACAAAGACAAAAGGGAATTCAAGTCTCATACACACTATGGCATTTCCTTATATGCCCTATTACTGCTGTCCAACATTAAGTGAGAGGTAGCCTACAGTACCTTGTGCACTGAAAAATTTAGAAAACTGTACATCAATTTACACATGGCAGGCTTACTCCTTCAGCAACCTTGATTGCTGACATGCACTCACACATGTTGCACACGCAAATACTCAAGCACACATCAGTTGGGTCAGGGAAGAGTTAATACTAACAGCAGCAATTTTACCTGTGGCCACAGGTTTCTCTAGTTTAAAAGCTAGGGTTTGTGTTCTATTATTATCAGGGATGAAATAAACACAAGAAGACATTAGCAGTGGACAATTTTCCAAATACCTGGAAGAAAAAAAAAAAATGACATCCTTACTGCTCTTCGTTAACCAAGTCCTTTTCTTGATCAACCACTTAAGATTCAAAGGCCCTAGACAACAGAACACACTATCCTGGCTGCACTGAACTGGCTTAAATTACAAAACTGCTTTTTTCCCCCCCCCCAATTCTTTTTAATATCCTAATATGGAACAAAATAAGCCCTTCATTACATACTACAGGCTCAGTTAGGCAATCAGGTCCCCTGTTGCTTAGGTGACCATGGTACTACTCATTTCTACAGTATTAAAATCCATTACAATTCAACACATATTAAACTAAAAGACTTGATATTTAGGGGGGGGTAAAAAGCAGTAAGTAAGATGGAGTTTGGGTCCTGCAGTCAAAAACCTGGTGGTGCTTCTCAGGTTTGCACATACATCCTAACAGGCCAGATTGATCAGGCATTTTTTGCTATACCCCACATTACCCAGGAGTGATGTTAGTAACAAAATATCTCTGGGTTATGCAAGATCAGACATCAGATGTTTTGCCCCATGATGAGCATTTTTATAATCATCTATGCACTGCCAAAAAAATGCACACCTACAAAATAGAAGGTCGCCAACTTGATGACAGACTGAAAAACAGGTATTCTTTAAGAGCATTATGCACTCCTGTTTTGCATGGCCATTTTGGAGTTACATTTCCAGCACTCTTCCATGCAGCTCTAAACACATCTTAATAGTGCTTAAATGCATAGAATACTCACACACAGTAACATTATAATTAGAAGCCCAAATATATACTAGGTAACATGACAAATGTCAGGTTACAGCAACACATACAGGTAACCAAACCCTCAGCCTGCCTACCTGTAAATTAATAACTGTACTAATGGGTGCTGTGCACCAAAATTATTGTTTTGTACATTAAAATGTCTAATTTCTAAAATGTTCTACATTTAAACACAAATGCCTATTTAGCAGTATGAGCCTTCATAAATTTGTGTAATACAATGCAATCATTAGGAATTCTGCAGAATCTCCTCTGCCCTATAACACTTGGCATTAATGCATCTTCAACTGTAGGATGCATCTCAGGATGGGTTACCTGGACAACTGCATCACTGGGAAGAAAGTGATGAATCTTATGCTTTCCTGACCAAAAGAGAAAATTATAGTCCTGTCAAAGTCTTATATTTGCAGCATCCCACAGGATTAAACCATAAATTGTTCTCCTTTTCCAGGCTCATCAGCATCCTGCTGATGGTTTTAGGGCTTTTGGGATGTTATCGGTGCACCTGAGATGCACAGATATCATCTCTACATTCTATACTAACCCCAGGCACCCAGAATGTGTGTTAATGCCAGGTGATGTGTGGAGGGGGCATACTTCAAGCTGATTTTTCTTTGTTGGTCTATCTGTACAGTTTCACCTCCCTATATGCATTTTACCAAATAAACAGCAAAGGCTATCAGATACCCCCAGTGTTCAGCTACACTGGAGGCCTTACAAAGCCTGAGACAAGGAATCGTGTCATGTTTGTGTGAAAGCACTCAAGGCTATTCAACCCTCATCGTCATCATAAAAGAACGTGGCATTTAGTCCCACTGCGAGTGAAACAGCCCTCAGCATTTCCTCTCCATCTATTTAAAACTGGCTTCCACTAACTACAGTCTGTTACATGCATCCAAACCCTCACTCATTCTCCAACTCGCCATCGCATTTAATCTGAATTTTTAGTCAATGCTAGCTGCACAGGAGGTCATCCAGGCAAGACGGCATTTTATCAAAGTCACAGCCATCAAACAAGTCGCTGATTCCCTGGTCATCTCCCAATCCTAAAAGATAGTCATCTTGGTCCAGAAGAGGAGGCCCAAGGTTTAAGAAAGGCCCCAGGGATGAATGGATCTGGTCTTCTGTCTGCTGGAGAAGACTGGTGTAAGGGGATGAGATGGGGGAGAGAGTAGTAACAGACACAGCTGAGGAGGAGGAAGGTGGAGCCAGGTAGGTGCTGGGAGAAGCAGCTGTGTAGCTGGAATCTGTGAAAGAAAATGGAGTAAACTGGTAATTGCTGCTACATAGATAGCTAAGAGGCATGTATAGGCCAAAAGAGTGGCCACGTTGACCAGTGTTTATGGTCCTGTACCAATATTTCAGATCTGATCAGTCACAAATTCCAGAGTCTAATCACAGATGATTGTCTTAACTGGTTGGTTTGGTTAACTGGTTATCAGCCATCTTAGACTTAACTTTACACTGGGAGCAGGGAGTTGCAACAAATCTTGCTGTAGTAAAGGTTTAATTAAAGTTGGCACTGACTCCACTGTTCTTTTCTCACTCATGTATTTTCTTTTTGTCCATGCTAGTTAGGATTAAGTGGCAATCAGCAAAACTGTGGTCATCACTTCAGGTTTGCTATGCTAGCCTTTACAAACGCGGAGAACAGCTCCAGTGTTGTAGATATCCATGGCTGTACACAACCTTATAGCCAGAGTAATGGCAAGCCTGTTTATTCAGTCATTAAATTTGGCGCAGAAGTGTTTTGTTGTCTCTGAACTTCTCATTAATACTAACAGGCTAAATTTACGTACAGTGGGTACGGAAAGTATTCAGACCCCTTAAATTTTTCACTCTTTGTTATATTGCAGCCATATGCTAAAATCATTTAAGTTCATTTTTTTCCTCATTAATGTACACACAGCACCCCATATTGACAGAAAAACACAGAATTTTTGACATTTTTGCAGATTTATTAAAAAAGAAAAACTGAA